TTGTCCACAAGGCCATGGGGGGCCGGCAGCTGACCGCAAGGCCGTGGGGGGCCGGCAGCTGACCGCGAGGAAGAGAAGTCAGGCTACTGGATCCCAAACCTTCGTGGTGACCATGCTGCCGGATATGAACCAAGAATCACCTCCCTCAGGAAATGCACCAAGTCACTCAGAGTCTCAGAGGAAAATGGCCAAAGACATGGCCTATTTTGGAAGGTCCCAGTAATTCTTTCCCTTCTGAAGTATACAGAAAAACATTGATTGGTATGGGTTGTTTATATAGTCTGTGTGTAGACATGTGCATACATATGTGTGTGAATGTGTATAAATGTGTATTTGTGTGTCTACCTGTGTGCATGTGTACACATGTCCGCATACAGGTGTGTTCACATGGGGGTGGGGTGTGACCACATATATCTGTTGTGTGTGTATGTGTGGTGTGTGTGCGCACATGTGTGCGCATGTGTGGCTACCTATATGCTGGGGTGTGTGTTGCCTTTGTGTGTCATTTGCCTACATGTATACATGTGTGAACATTCGTGAATGTCTCTATGCCACGTGCACATTCCTGAACATGCATGTGCCTGTGCGTGCATGCGTGCAGCATTTATATGTGATGCGTGCATCTGTGTATATATTATGTGTGTGTGCATATATGTACACATGTTTCTGCATGCATTTGTATATACATGTGTGTGCACATATACAAAGCCTCTAACATTTAACTGCCACACTCACCATGAAAACCCAAGGATGCTGCTGTTTGAAACTCATATCTTCATCCAGGAGACAGGAATCCCCAATACAGAAACCTGGTCCACTCACCTGCCTCTTCTCTGTTCCCTGTGGGACTGCGCACACTCAGCACACCTCTAACACTTCCTGTCCCCACACCTGCTAAGCGTGTGCAAAGCCCCTTCCCTATGAGGGGTAGATTCCATCCATGCATGTCACTGCGCCGCACCCTGACCTGGGAAATGCAGGGACGCCTGCTCTAACATCCCACTGGGTGGGCGGGCAGGATGGGTGGGCAAAACAGCCCTGGGGGCCACACACTGGGGCAAACACAGACTCTACTCTCTCAAGGGTGCCCAGACTTGTGCCACGTGGAGATTCCCTCGTGACTGAGGTGGGTGACACACAGGCTCTGAGCACAGCACAGAGGCGCCGACCTTCTCCACGGCAGGAGGTGCCAGGGGCCGGCAGGCAGGGCTGGCCCGGGGCCAGAGCCGCGGGGTGAAGGGAGCTGTCCTTTCAGAGGAGGGTGGCTCGATGAGGGTGTTGGCCTCTTCAGAGGTGAACCAAAAGAACGCCGAGGGTTGCCAGCTGCAGGTGGCCCCTTCTGTGTGTGCATGGCAGAGAGGGGCTCGGGGTCAGGGGAATGTTCTGAGAGACGGCCCATAGACAGTGAGTCTCTTCAAAGCAGTAACAAAGCCGTCCTGCTGGCTGGAGAGGGGACATGGCCTTGTCCTGATGGCCACGGGCCCTGATCGCTGCCCAAGGGCCCTGATAGCTGCCCAAGGGCCCTGATCGCTGCCCCCCAGGCCCTGATCGCTGCCCCCGGGGCCCTGATCTCTGCCCCCCGGGCCCTGATCTCTGCCCCTTGGGCCCTGATCGCTGCCCCCAGGGCCCTGATCTCTGCCCCCCCGGGCCCTGATCTCTGCCCCCTGGGCCCTGATCGCTGCCCCCCGGGCCCTGATCGCTGCCCCCCCGGGCCCTGATCTCTGCCCCCTGGGCCCTGATCGCTGCCCCCCGGGCCCTGATCGCTGCCCCCCCGGGCCCTGATCTCTGCCCCCTGGGCCCTGATCGCTGCCCCCCGGGCCCTGATCGCTGCCCCCCCGGGCCCTGATCTCTGCCCCCTGGGCCCTGATCGCTGCCCCCCGGGCCCTGATCGCTGCCCCCCCGGGCCCTGATCTCTGCCCCCTGGGCCCTGATCGCTGCCCCCCGGGCCCTGATCGCTGCTCCCCGGGGCCCTGATCGCTGCCCCCCGGGCCCTGATCTCTGCCCCCGGGGCCCTGATCTCTGCCCCCTGGGCCCTGATCACTGCCCCCCAGGCCCGGGAGCAAGTCCACATCCTTCTGTGGGCACTGACCACAGCAACCACACACGCGTGGTGTGGCCTTAAAACTCTAAATGTTGGAGAACTCAGTGGACTCTGGGCTGTCCCCAAACCCAATTTCTAGCAAGGCACCCCGCCTTCATTTTGCAGAGCAGAACACTGGGTCCCCACTGCCTCTGGGGACCCCAGGGATGGTGCTACAGACAGAAAGAGAAGGCCACCTCCCAGCTGCCGCCTCTGCTCAGGCTCTGGCAGGGACGCGTTGCTAACTGTCACCCAGAACTGGGGAGGGAACAAGGAAGGGGCTTTGCCGGAGTTTTTGAAGAATGTGGGGAAAAGTTGCTTGTTTACCTGGTCCGTTCGTGTGTTCCCACCAGCAAAGCCATTTTCACTCATAAACGTCACTGTCCCGAAACACGGACACAGTCTGTCCAAGAGCCGGGCTGCTGGACCCACGTCCAGGCCCAAACCACGTCCCCTTCGTCCGTGGAACTGAGTGCCCTCTGTTCCCATGGCACACACATGTGCCTGCACTCACACAGATACACACATGCACACGCGCTCCGTCCCACGTGCACACACAGGACCGCTCCTCTCCCCTCACCCCTTCAGTACCAGCACCCTCAGCTCAGGGCCCCGACACCACGCTCTGCAGCCCCCATGGACTAAATAAAAATCTGTGGCTGATTAACTGGTGCTTCTCCATTTGCCTAAAAGATAAATTTATAACAAATTTATAGCATCATCAGCTAGAATCCCAACATGCTGGAATCCCACATAAACTTAGGAGTCTTCAACCCCAGCAGGTGAGCCGGGGCGAAGGGCCAGGGGCCCCTGAGACAGATGGGGTTCATGCCGGAGGCTGCCAACAAGGTGCATGTGTCTGTTTCCCCAGCAAGCCCCGCACCTCCTCCCACCCCCCTCCCCTCCCCGGGTCCCAGGCTGGTTGTCCCAGCCTCACGCCTGGGGAGGCGGTCCTAGGGGACCTGCTCTGGGAAGGGACCTCGTGCTAGACTCTCTGACGTGTGGCTCTGGGACTGCCAGGCGCG